CTGTTTTTCATAGAAACGAGGTTGTTGCATCTTCTGCATAGCTCCAAATGGTTGATGAGCATTACCCTGCTGTGCGTTTCCATAACGCAGGTTCGGATGATCTCTCCAGCCTGGATTGTAGGTGTTGGAGTATGGATTGTACGCTGGAGGTCTATTTATACCGTAGTTTGCAGTGTTCACATCCACTACACATTCTTCTTGGAGGGTCGGACATGCATCTGTAGGGTGTCCTGCACTCGTGCATATTCCACACACCTTGACCTGGACACTCGGGTTGGATTTTTCCACGACCATCTTGCGAACAAAGCTCGTCAACTCAGAAAGTTGTTGTTGCATCGATTGGATGGCATGGTCACTGTTGTTTCCGCGCATCTGTCCAACATCCCTTGAACCAAATTGCTGCGTGTTTTCAGCCATCCTCGCAATAAGATATCAAGCTTGTGCCGGCGTCTTATTTACTAGAGCTCCACCACTTGCAGTGTCGATGATGTTCCTGTCCATCAATGATAAACCATCATAAAAATATTGAATCAATAGTTGAGGGGGAATTTGATGTTGTGGACATTTAATGATAAGCTTATTAAATCGCTCCCAATATTCATGGAGCGTTTCACCTGATTGTTGTTTGATACCACATATCTCCTTCCTCAGGATCGCAGCTCTGGAAGCTGGAAAGTACTTCTCCAAAAATTTCTTTTTCATGTCGTTCCACGTGTCGATGCTTCCAGGTGGGAGATAGTAGAGCCAATCCTTTGCAGCATCTTTGAGTGAGAATGGGAAGGCTCTGAGTTTGATCTGTTCATCAGTAACACCTAGTGGTTTCATGCTGGAGCACACCACGTCGAACTCTTGCAAGTGTTTGTGAGGTTCTTCACCTGCAAGTCCATGAAAAGAAGGCAATAAATGAATTAATCCAGATTTCAGTTCAAAAGCAATAGTGTTATTCAGAGTTGGAAAGTTAATGCATAAGGGCTGCTGCGCCAAGTTGGGAGCAGCCAACTCCCTTAAAGTGCGGGTATCCTCAGCCATGATAGTCTCTTGATCACTTTCAGAGTCGCTAGAGCTAGAGATTTTGAGGTGGTTTAAAGATTCTGCCAGCTTCGCAACCTGAGCAGCTTTTCGTTGCTTGGCTTCCTTTCGTAGCTTTCGCTCAACGTTCTCGATCTCAAGATTAAATATCAGTTCACCTGTACGAGAAGAACGGGGCATAAACAAGAGGATAAATTAAAATAATACAAAAGAGTAAAACAAAGCGCCAATCCCGGGCAACGGCGCCAAAAATTGACCTGTCGCGCGGTCAATCAAATATTTCACCTACTCCGTGATCACAATTTAATGTAATATAGGGGAAGGGATCGTCTCCACAGAGATTGTGTGATTCACTCTTTCGTGTTCTAATGTAGTAAATAAAGGGGGATTTTTCTTTTATTATCTAATTAAAATAAAATAACAAAGCAATTAAATTAAAGGGGAACTGACTATTAAGGGGATGTCTGGCTCAAGGATGATGCAGTTATGGCACTTGTGTTCTATCATTAATTCAATTAAATTAATTCTTATTAAAGTATCAATAAATTGGTTATAGTTATCAACAAGCTCTGACAACCAATTTTTCCTTACAGTGTAGGTAATTAAGGTACGACCGTTAACTACCCATAATTAAGCAAATAAACCTAGGTGTGCCCATAAGAATATTGCCTAACCGCATTCCAATCTAGAAAAACCCAATTCAAAACAATTACTACCTAAGAGAAGCAATTAGATTTGATTGTCTAACCCCCGGGAATGAACTATTCAACCCGGTTGTCACCTATTCAAGTGCGAATACAATTACGGATATCCTACTTGAATTGACTTTAGATTATCAGACTAATTTAAATATCGGTACCAAAATATTCAATCAATCTAACAATCACAAACGCTATTCTCAGAATTAGACAAATATTGATAATCAAAAAGAACTTTTATAAAGAAAATAAAAAATCTCCAAAACAAAAGAACCAAAATATTATCACCCCTCAAACCAGAAAAGTATCTACTCCATAATTAAATAACAAAGAACAAAAGAGAAAGATGAAGTCATAGTGGGAGGGGAAAATCTTCTCTGTCGATTTGCTCCTGCGCGATCTATGAATCTGTCAGTCTCCTACTCCTGTGCGTTTATGCCCTAGCCGTCCTCTCCCTCTTGAAACGTGTGATCCCTTCTTTTATTTAATGTTTGCCCTAATTATTTTGTAGATGGGTTTTTGGGCCTTTAATTAATTTTATTTCTTTTTTCTGCCAATTATGCCAAATTTAATATTTGCCCTCTGCACACAACAAATAAACAATTCGCATATAAATTAGGTAGAATCCAATCAAAATTACCCAATTATCGCATATGATATGAATATAAAACGCATGCGATTTCTAACTATCACTAACAGACCAAAATGTCCCTACATTATATAATTATTGCGAAAAAATTAAAATAATTTTGTAAAAGAAAAGGGATTAGTGACCAAAATAGAAATAGGATTATTATTTTAAACAGATAAAAATGATAAAATGAAACTATTATTTTAACATAAGATAGTATTATTTAAATATTATAATATATTAATATTAACCTCCGCATTAAAAAAAAAAAAAAGAAAAAAAAAAGAAACACCTACTATGTGTATGGATAAATTATTATTTAATCTACATATATTATATACTAATCAAATTAGTGTTTAAGTTTCAAATATAACTTCATCTATATTGAGAAGGCACATTTAACATCATTAAATATGAAATTACAAAATTATGTTAAGTAATCAAATTAGGGTAAGTACTCATTAGGAAATAAACTAAATACTTACTACAAAATCTTATCAATCACCAAAAAAAAAAAAATCAAATAAATCCCAACAATTAATGACAATTATTTTTAAATTAAATTTTTAAAAAAAAATCAAATAAATCCCAACAATTAATGACAATTATTTTAAATTAAATTTAAAAATATCGTGATCGCCATCTATATATACACGTCCAACTATCAGCAACAATGAAACCCAACAAAATACATAGAAAAGAAAAAATGGTGTCTTGTAAAAATACTAAAGTTGTTCTACATAGAAAAGAAAAAATGGTGTCTTGTAAAAATACTAAAGTTGTTCTAGTGGGAGTGATTTTGATGTTTGCAACAACCTCCTATGCTCAATTATTTTGCAACGTGTCAATACCTGATTTGTTGACATGTCGACCGGCGGTGACGCCTCCGAACCCGCCGCCCCCGACGGCGGAGTGCTGCTCGGCGGTGTCGAGGGCCGACCTCGCCTGCCTTTGCAAGTACAAGAACAATCCGGGGCTCCCGTTACTTGGCATTGATGTCGAGCTCGCCCTGCAACTTCCGAAAAAATGCAATCTTCCTAATGTACCGCCGTGTTAGTTAAAATGAATTTATTTAACGCTCGTTCTGGAAATTGCAAATAAATTATATCGTTGTATATTGAATTTTCAATAATTTTATTTAATAATTGTTATTATCAATTTGCGGCTGAGTTCAGTGCAATGATTTAATTGAATAAATATTTTATACTCTTATGTTCTAATTTAAAGTATTTTTTTTTAATATTTTGTATGTTCAAAGTACTTTTTTTTTTTTCTATTTTAGACAAATAATCATACATTAATATCAAAATATTTTTAATTTTCATTTAAATTACAAATATATTATTACACATAAAATTATTTTATATATAAAGTTAAATGATGAAAATGTCAAAAAAAGATTTTACACACCTTTACTAACTAATAAAATATTATTATTTTTTAATTTATTACAAAATTCTAAAGAACCCCTTTAATTTGGGACGGATGAAATAATATTTTTATGTTTCTTAATGATTAATAATAGAATTACGAAATATATATATTCTTTTTTGTTCCAAAAGAAAGGTGTTATATTCTACTCCCTCCATCCCGAATCAAATTACATTTTTTTTTTATCATTTTCGTCAGTTTCATCCAAAGAATTTTTTTCATATTTTAGTAAAAGTAATTATATATTAATATTTAAGTATTCTTAACTTTTATTTAAATTATAATTTTATAATTACATATAATATTATTTTATATATAAAGTTAAATGTCAAAATCTTTTATACACTTATAACTCCAAATGGTCTATTTGGAGTAAGACAGAGAGAGCATTTATGTTTGTTTTATTTTCTAAGACTAAAAGTGGGGTGTAAAAATGTTTTTCAAATACTAAAATATCTTTATTTTATGTAATTATTATGAAAAAATGTAGATAGTTTTGTAAAAAGATGAAAAAGTTAGTTATCAAAATGAAAATGAGACTATTGTTTCATTTTCGTCCCACTTATTTTGTCAATTCATTTCTTGAAAAATAATTATATTACTTTAACCTTATTATAAATTTTTTAATTTTTAATTTTTAAAATTTTAATTAGACCAATCAATTATCTTAATCTTACTTAATAATTATTTTTATTATACGAAATTATACCCCTCGTAAATCTTTGTGTTTACAATAGAGTGGACATCATAGCGGGAACAGATGAAATATTATTTTTATATTATATGGGTATTTTTGTCTTTCTCTATTATAACTAATATAAAAAGATTATGTCAGAAAAATAAATGACACTTAACATATAAAAATTGTGGATTCCAATAATTATTTAATACTCCATCTTTCCCACTTAATTTATCTAATTCTTTCTATTTTCATCCGTACCGTACTATATCATTTATTATTTTTTTTTTTTAAATGTAATTACATACTTCAATTACATTTTTAAATTCAAAACTTTTTTTATTTTTAACTAAACTATTTAATCATTTAGTTTTAAACTAAAAAAAACCAATAAGCGGTGGGAGTAATAAATTAAATTTGTAATGAAATATTAGAAAACAATTATACTATAATGGAGTATTAAAGAAAAAAAAAATAGAGTATTTATTTCCTACATGGCGAACAAAACGACGTCATTTTGCAGCCACATTGTTACGCTGCTTCTCCGATGAAGATCATCATCGGCAATGGCGGAGAGGCGTTCGCCACTCTGCTCAAAATCTCCGCACTATTTTTCTTCTCAATCGCTGTCGTCTACCTAGCCAGGCATTTCTCCGACGCTGCCTCTTCGCCAGACAGCCTATTCTTCTCATTCTCCAATCGCGCAGGCCTCCAGACGCCGCAAGAATCTCCCTCTCCCGATTCCCTCACCAAAACCCTAAATGCGTCAAACCACGACGTCCGGACGAATCAATCAGCGCGGCCGGCGCTGCAGAGAATGGGAATTCTCGACGAGAACGGGCGGATGACCGACGATTTCGAAATCGGAGATTACGACCCCAAATTGGCGGAGGCATGGCGCAACGAGAGGGATCGGGAAGGGGATAAGTACAACGCCGTCGGAATCAAGCTCAGCAAAATTCCAATATGTCCGGACGCCATGCGCGAGTACATTCCTTGTTTGGACAACGAGGAGGCGATTAAGCGATTGAATTCGACAGAAAAGGGGGAGAAATTCGAGCGACATTGTCCTGAAAAGGGCAAGGAGTTGAGCTGCTTGATTCCTGCTCCTAAAGGATACAGAATTCCTATTCCCTGGCCCAAAAGTCGCGATGAGGTTAGCGAAACAACATTAGATTCGCCATTTTTGTTACACTCATTGAATTTTGCGAGCTGTGTTGCCTGATTCTGATGATGAATGAATAGCTTACTGTGGAGTAGACGAATTCTCCGAAAATCGATAAATTGTCTTTTGAGTTTGATGCAATGAGATCATAATTTTTTATAACAAGCATACAACTAATAAGTTCGTGTTGGTGAATATATTTGTTGGTTGTAGTAATGCAATATGTCAAATACTTTCGAGAAGCTCGATCAACACATACAAATCAATCGATGAATAGTACATGTAAACAACATATATATATATATATATATGCTTATGATGAAAGAATCGCTTGATGTCGAGTAGACAAAGTTCGAAAATCGATAAGTTTGTTCTTTTAGTTTGATCAATGAAATCATTGTTTTGATTACAAGCATACAACTAATAAGTTTGTGTTAGTGAATTTGTTTGTTGGTCGTAGTAATGCAATATGTTAAATGTAGTTTGATCAATGAAATGGTAGTTTTCGATAACAAGCATACGACCAATAAGTTTGTATTAGTGTATTTATATTTTGGTCCGTAGTTATGCAATATGTTAAATACTTACAAGAATCTCGATCAAGACATACAAATCGATCGATGAATAGTACATGTAAATATTATATGTTGTTTGTGTAGTAAGTGTGCAATGTCCGATAATCTAGTTATGTTGCTCAATAATAAAATTTTACGGAATTATTGTTTGTATGTTGGTTCCTATCGTCGAATATATTGTCATATGATATATTACTTTTGTCTTACTTAAATAGTCTAAACACAAAAAATTTATAATAAATTAAGAAATAATAGTATTATGAGTGAGTTCATGTAAAACGGAAAATTATGTATAGTACATGATGGTAATTTAATAAATAGTGGTAAGAGAGGTAAATTGGTAATCGTGTGGGAAGTGAGCATTATTTAGTATCAATATGATGTAGCTATACAATATGTTGAATTCATATATATATATATATATATTATGAAATGTTGGCTTAAAGTATACAAGATAATGAACCATTTCTTACAGGTGTGGTTTAATAACGTTCCGCATACACGTTTGGCCGAGGATAAAGGCGGCCAGAACTGGATCACCGTCGACAAGGACAAATTCAAGTTTCCGGGAGGCGGGACGCAGTTCATCCACGGCGCAGATCAGTACTTGGATCAGATTGAAAAGGTGGTGGAATGAATTGTTTCCAAATGCTCTTAAAACAGAATTGGACTAAACAAAAGATGGAAACGCCTTTCGATAATCTTGTTTGCAATGCCTTTGTGCAGATGGTTCCTGACATTGCATTTGGCCGCCGCACTCGAGTTGCTCTGGACGTTGGCTGCGGAGTCGCGAGTTTCGGTGCTTATCTATTCTCGAGAAATGTCACTACCCTCTCTGTAGCCCCGAAAGATGTTCATGAGAACCAGATACAATTCGCGCTCGAGCGCGGCGTCCCAGCTATGGTGGCTGCTTTCGCTACGCGGCGTCTGCTGTATCCTAGTCAAGCATTTGACCTGATACATTGCTCGAGGTGTCGGATCAACTGGACTCAAGACGGTACAACTCCTTATCCATTATATTTTGTGTAGTAATTATACAAACCCGAGATTTCTAGAATCTTTAGAGGTGTAAAACAAATTAGTCGTGAGTTTAGTTTGATTCTGCTCGTTAAAAGCTCGTTCGCTAAGCTAAACGAAACGAATACGAATATTAATTTTTGCTCGTTATATTAACGAGAAGCTCAAAATTGTTCATGAACATTCGATAATGGTCGTAAACAAATTAAATTAATATTTTTATATTTAATATATATATGTATAAGATTTTACATAATTCTAATTTTTTTATATAAGTCTATTAATAGATAATAATTATTATTATTATTATTAATTAAAATTAAATTTTACTCCCTCCGTCCCACATAATTTGTCCCTATTTTCTATTTTCGTCCGTCCCACATAACTTGTCCTTTCTATTTTTGGAAATATAATTATGCACTTTAATCGCATTTTAAATTTTAAATTTTATAATTTTCTTAATTTTAATTAAACTATTTACTTATCTTAATCTTAATCTATAATTATTTTTACTAAATAATAATTATTTTTCTAATACACTTCTTAATTACTTACTAATTATACTTTACCTAAATTCCCGTGTCTACAGTAATACATCCATATTACATGGGACGGAGGGAGTATAAAGCAAAATAAAAAATTCTCTTAAGGAGCTGAGCTGAACATTAAGATAAAATTGTTTAACGAACCAAATTCAAATAAAAAATTTAACTCGTAATTTTTAACAAACGAACACGAATTGAGTTTGAGTCTTTAACGAGCCGAGCTCAATTCGACTCGTTAATAGCTCTAAGAATTTTGCAAAGCATGCTTATTATATCCAACTAATGATTAAATGTCAGTCTTGCTTAGTATGATTTTTTCAAAAATTAAATTCAAGACATACTACAAAGAAACGGATCGATAGTCATTTTGATTTTATGTGTTTATTTACCATCATTGTAGTATCATGGACTTACATTGTTCTTCATGAAATCATTTCTTCGTTATATATTAAATTTAAAATTTATAACCTACTCGGTTCTGTGCTACTTCTTACCACGGACATTTAACCATACTTTTTTTTAGATGGAATTTTACTGCTAGAGGTAAATCGGATGCTCCGAGCAGGGGGGTATTTTGCTTGGGCTGCACAGCCTGTTTATAAGCACGAACCGCTCCTCGAAATCCAATGGGAAGGTAACTATCATGAAATTCTGCATAAAACATTTGTGTATTTGGGAAACATTTAGAAGAATTCGAGCTCAGTTGAGTAAAGTTTGCGACGTTTTTCTATATTATCCACTTGAATGTATTACTCGATTTTTAAATATTCTTGATTTTCAGAAATGGTTAACCTTACCAATCGTCTTTGTTGGACGCTTGTGAAGAAGGAAGGCTACATCGCAATATGGCAGAAGCCCGTAAATAATAGCTGCTACTTGAGTCGAGAGAAAGGAATACAACCGCCGCTGTGTGAACCGGATGACGACCCGGACAATGTTTGGTAATATTTCATGCAATCCTTTGAAATCTCCAAAATTTTATGCATCTATTGATTTATACTCCCTCGGTCTCATATTTAACTATTTGTTTGTTTTTTGCACGAAATTTTAGGAATATTACTATTATATTGAGTATAATAGGTAAAAATTTATATAGGAGTATATTTATAATATAGTGTAAGTTTAGGGTTACTAAAAAATAGATTTTTTATTTTGGGACGGATCAAAGTAGAAAAATAGACAGGTAGTTAAGGGATGGAGGGAGTATTATATATTTTGAAGCTAAAAGTGTGTTTGTTTAGATTTATAGTTTTAGATATTTTTACTGAGGTATAGGAAATTGTGAAAGTATTACAACAAATCTTGTTTTTATTGTTATGTATATATATCGTTAAACATGTCAGGTACGTCGACTTGAAGCCATGCATATCGCGTCTACCGAATGAAGAATACGGTTCGAACGTCACAGCTTGGCCCGAGCGCCTGCAGAACCCTCCGGATCGCCTTCAGACCGTACAAATCGATGCATACATATCTAGGAGAGAGCTCTTTAGAGCGGAGTCGCGATACTGGAAAGAAATCGTCGATGGTTACGTGCAATTCTTAGGTTGGGACAAACTCAACCTCAGAAATGTTTTAGACATGAGAGCTGGCTTCGGAAGGTAATCATTTTTGTCATTTTATTTCTTATCCGCACATTATCGCGCCCACCGTAATCTTGCATTGTAAGAGAATCCAAAATGCGTCTATCTTCAATCGCAGTTTTGCCGCAGCTGTAGTCGAGCATAATCTCGATTGCTGGGTGCTGAACGTCGTCCCCATTAGCAGTTCCAACACGCTCCCGGTCATATACGATCGTGGCCTCGTCGGGGTCGTGCATGATTGGTAAGGTTTATCGGTGTTCTTGTTTATAATGATGCGACTAGCGGTGTCGTCGAACATGAACATTTTCAGGTGCGAACCGTTCGATACGTATCCAAGAACCTACGACTTGATTCATGCAGCCGGGCTTTTCGCAGCCGAGCGCAAAAGGTACGACGACAACTTACTCGCATCTACCATTTTTCGTTTCTTGAATTCTTGTACCGAAGTTTTCTTCGTTCAATTCCAGATGCAATATTACAATCATCATGCTCGAAATGGATCGAATCCTGAGGCCCAGTGGGCGTGTATACATTCGTGATACTGTCAATCTAATGGTCAAAATCGAAGAAATCGGCAGAGCAATGGGTTGGGATACGATGGTATTAGAGACGTCGGAGGGTCCTCATTCAAGTTACCGGCTATTGACGTGCCAAAAACGCCTCCCGCTGCGGCCGGAGGCGTAACACAGCTGTAGTTTACTAGGTTAGGCTTAGTATGTGCAATCTGCAGGATCAAATTCATGCAAGAACAGTCCCAAATCCTTTCAAAAATTACTGTCCTTCACTGGCGATCGATCAATTGATCGAGTAAATAAATATCAAATTGTTGGGCGACGTACAACGTTGAAGAACATGTGTTCATCGCTCTGCTGGAAATGGTCCTTTTTGTCGCAAACGACAGGTCGTTAGAATCTCTGGATGGATTTAGCCTTCAGAACCAAGTTCGTCGAGTTTCTTCCCGGATCTCGGCCTCCACACTTGTTGTTTTTGCCCATTCGGGTGTTTCTGAGCTGCCGGCTGTGTCTCCGAGGATGTTTGCTTTCTTCTCTCGGGGTTTTTGTTGGGACCGTGTCGCCATGATGAAGATTGCCGGCTCGCCGTGGCTGGAAACGGTGTTCTCGGAAATATATGCGGCCCGGCCATAACCGATAGGAGAGAACCTGGATTTTGGTTCGGGTGGACGAGTACTCCATACGTCTCCTGAATCGCTTCCGATATCTTTATTAATTGCTTGCTGCTAACCGTCCTTGCCGTATTTGCTGGCTGCTCGAAAGGATCTTCAACCTGATATCATTGTCGGAAAGAGGATAAACAACGAGGTGAGCATGACGTATATGAACATACAACGACGAGGGATAGCGAGAGAGATTACGAATAGCGCATAGGTTTTAGGAAGCCATCTCATGTTGCTGTTGATTTCCTCCATTTGTCCCGAGTACGGGCTAATGCCGTGTGTGGAAGCATTTGAACAGATCTCAGCAAACTACATGAGAAAGGCGATCAAAAAATGAAAAAAAGAAAGAGAGAAATAGCTATCGCACAAACTATCGACGAGAAATTAGGATAACCTTAGCAAGGAAAGAAAGGAAGAGCTCAGACAAAGAACTTTGGTTAAGGTTTGCCCTCCGTTCCGACTTAATTTTGTTTATGTTTACAGCACAAGCATCTTCGATATGTTTTTCTGCAACAGTCCTCACACCTTCAGAACAAATGGATAAAAAGGCATCAGTGACTTCGATTGAAATATTTCATCGCAGTTTAGACAATATATACACACTAGATCTATGCCAAACAGCGAAAACAGGTAATATTGCTAGAATAAACATAAATCTGCACTAGCTTTTGACAATTTGATATAAATCATGTAATAGGGGTACCTGTAAGATCATCGATCATATTTCAGTAACTCGAATTAAGTATTTCATCGCAGGTAATATTGCTAGAATACACATAAATTTGACTGGCTTTTGAGCAGTTTGAGAAAAAGCATGTTATAGGGGTACCTGTAAGATCATCGATCATATTTCCAGGATATACATCTCGAAACGGCGGTAGTATTGCAGGTTTCACTGTCTGCAAAAAATTATAGAATAACCTAGATAAGAATATTAGTAAATGCCCATAGGTGAACAGTTATGCCAAGCTAGTAGATGTCATTTCACAACTTAGAAATCATGTACGCAATGATATGATAACCAGGAACATAGTATATATAAATCCATATATCTTCATATTAGTCTTAGGAGTATAGGAGATGTAAGTATTCACTTATCAAGCTATATCTTTAGGCTTTAAAAAATAGATTCTTAGCTTGAAACACGATGAACGGACTCAAATATCACCAGAAGTTCTTTTGCCAAAAGCAGTTCCAATGTTCTCATTGAGTTATCGTTTCCGAATGCAAGCTTCAATCAAACTCCAATTGATATTGACAAGTTACCTGAAGATGGAAAACCACCAGCAAACTCAGAGAATATGAGTTCAAACTTCCAGATTTCGAATCATTAATATGGTGATTTTTGGCCCACTCCTTCACCTGCATAAAGAAAATGATTAGATCCTTCTTTAAGATGTATTATTTGGACTATCAGTGCTACAGAAACTTGCCAGTAAAACCAAATCACGGAAGCGCCCATCAATCTCATTAACCCAGAATAACATTTTCGATTTCATCTGACCACTTAAATTGTTAATGGAGATGTCACACGAGATGCATCTGCTCTCAAACTTCAGAATAGGGACCCTAGCATTGATGATGAATTGTACCTTGCGAAATCCACCTGCAGACAAATAACTCAATATTTCAAAGATAACCATCCAGCTTCTACATTCGAAATTTTCGTACCCAACTAAAACTATTAAACAGTATTAAATCCTTCCGTCATTCTATTTCAAGAAGTCCGGGGATAAACCACATTCACTCAGGTAACAGTTTCACATAACTCAGTTTTGAGAGAAACGTCTCTCTAGTATAATATCAGCGGTGTAGCTAGATTTACCAAGTAGAAATGTAAAACTTGCATTCAGGCGAGTCAAGTTACAATTGATCAATGTTCATCATTACTACAAAATTGCTTCACTGCTGCCAAATCTTTGAACATTCTGAATACATTGCATTCAGATATGAAACAAAGCAAATCCATAAGCTTACAGAACAACCAAGCTACCAAGAGAAGTTTCTTATTCCATTTATTTATTTATTCAAAAAGGGTAGAGATAAAATGCAAGCAGTATTATATTCCAATAGTAAAACATCAGGACAGTATTGGAATCTTTTGTAAGTAAGTTACCTTTGTCCCTCAAAGCCGACAAAACATCACCTAGTAACTTCTGCTTTTGCTTTCTTCCAGGAGATGAGATGTATGACCCATTTTGCAGCTCAATTGATATATCCAAGTCTCCCCATTTTGTGAAGAAATTGGACACAAACGATCCAAATGGTTCCACAGTTGCACCTGTTTCCAAAGTATTTGAAAACAATACATCAATTTATGTTGTTGACTTACACATTTCCAGGAAACTATATAACAATTATTGTGAGTGTAGCTATAAACCAGTGTTCAAACTGCATAATACAAACCTACTCAAATTGACAAATATGATTTCAATATTAAGGCGTCACCCTTTCTGATAAGTTCTTATAAAAAACAATATTAAAAAATGAACCAAAAACAACCACATAGAAGATTAAGAGAAAGAAGAGTAATAAATTTAGTATCCAAAAAAAAAAAAACAGTTAATGGACACAGTGAATATTGCTTTAAGTAACTGAGTTGAATATTTTGTTTCAGAATTCTCTTCACCATATTAATCTTCATATGGCGGCAATAAGAAGTTTTTATTTATATTTTATACCTTAGTGTATTATAATGTAAACAATCAGATCCATTTTTATCAAGATAACAAGAACTGAAGGAAGAGAGAAACCCGTGATTAAGACTAGCAGTAAAGCAAGTTTTCTTGCTCTGTTCCCTTTTGATGAGGAATCATCTAAAAGCACTAGGTTATGCAACAAATTCTGTAAAGTAAGAGGATTAATATTGAATACCATTAGCAATAATGCTTAGAATAGCGTAGACTTGGTCATTGACGATACCTTCCTAGTATGAGAGGGAAATAACTGCCTGATTATTTATGTTAAATTGATTTCCGTGTGCAGCTCCAGCCTATTAATTAGACAGGCACATGCATGTGAAAATTATAGTAAATAGGAAAAGCCTCAAAAATAATGTGGACTATGTGATGAAATGGTGTGAGTGGATTCAAAATGTTTATTTGTTTATTCAAAAATCCATTTTCTTATACTGAATACATATACAAATTATCCCGTAACAACATTTTTTGGCATGCAGAATATATATATATATATATATATGTATGTATGAGCACATAGCCACATAGATTCTTCAGTTCCCACTAAAAATTCAATCACACAAAATTTTGCAAAAATCCCTGGCTACCTTAAGGCATAGTTCCCAATCCCAGTTGCACAACATACAATTTTATATACACATATATGATGTGTATCACAATGCAAACAACCAATTAAATTATAATAATGTCCGTGAGAAGACTTTCAATTCCATAATTTCACTAAAAAATCTCCTACCATCCAATGGCATGTCTTCGCTTATTCTATCCAAATCCTCTTCACTATTTCCAACTGGCCATCAGGAAATTCAGAATATTACACTCGGACATTCACAATATTACACTTACTATCCAAAGCCACTTTCCAGATAACCATCTTGAGGACAAGACAGTTTTCAATGTAGGGGGTAACAATAGAAATCAAGCTACACCTGTGCTAGCTCATTTATCACATGGTGCAAGGATGATCGTGCTTTTTTCTAATGTTTCAATTATGTCAGGTGGGTGGAGGGGAAGAGATTTCCAGGAAATGCAATAGCATTCTTCTTTACTGAGCAGATTCTTAATTACAATCCTTCTTCTTTAAGTTCATATAGAGGGCTTCAGTTGCTGTAATCTGTTCAATTACTTTGCTTGTCTCCACCAAATTTTGATTTGAGGAGTGGGTTTCAATGCAAAGATGAACACAAGATATATTTCTCCAAGACTGTCAACACAACAAATTTCAGCATATATACACCCTCCATATATCTTTCCATTTTGTTTACTAATTGACATTAAACAAAAGATGGAAATGTAATCTGCTTAATTCATTCTTCACAAACTAGAAGAGCAGGTAATTCTAATCTAAACAATGATTTTTAACCATACTCCACTTTTGAAAATGCAAAGCTGAACAAAATGAACTATGTTTCTCTAGTATATAGCACCAAAGATCAAGCTTCTCTAGCTATTTGAATTGAACAACATGCAAATAATCTCTGAACATAATACAATAAATATGAAATTTCATGGATAAAAATGTTGTGTGATTCTAGAACAGAAAAGGACAAAGCTACAAATGAATGATAAGTTGGTGCTAGATAATTAGCAAATCCGTTTTCCAACATCACATCATGAATTGGGACGAGAGAATTTGGAAAGCAGTATGATCACTAACTGCTTTATGCCCTAATGCAGTTGATTCCTGATGTAAACTAATTCTCCCCTAATATACAAGATTTTGGGTTGCCTGTCCTCAATTAACTTTTCAAAGGTAATAATTTTTTTGATATTCAAATCAAATGCATAAGTGATGTAACAAATAAGAGGAAAAAACTTAGGAAAGAATCATTTACCTCTCAAACTTTCAATTGATGCAACAATAGCTCTAACTTCATTGATAATATGGAATCTGACTGCCCAATGCTCGTTCAATGGATTAATCATTTGAAGAATATTCTTCACAGTGAGCTCCAATGGGTTAAAACCATTCATTTTCAGTGGCCCTCACTGAAGTCACATGCCCTCAAATGACATAACATCCCCTGCATGTCAAGTGTATCATGAAAAGCATAAGTGGTTGAAAGTTGAACAGGGCCAAGAATGATGTTGCCCATGTGTTGTGTGTTATAAATTTATTCTTCAAAACTATATATATAATATATATATTAACAAGAAACACACAGATCATGTAACATATTGGAAGCAGCATCACAAGAGAACACAATGTTATTCAGAAAAGTTAACTTCATCTAAAGATAAGCTCTACATTTAAATATAATATAATACAATTGAACTAAAACAATTTAAGTGCTTCTTCAATCGCTCAATTCAAATGTTTGAAATTTTAATTGTATTGCACAAAACATTTGAGTCACTGTCGTTCCCATAATAAAAGAATTTATGCGAACATAAAACCCCAATAACAAAAATTAAAATAAAACAGATGCACAGAACAATTGATTACTGTAAAGCTCCAATCAATCCGTATACAAAACAGATGCACGCATCGAAAATCGCGTCTACTGCTACTGTGAAACTTAAAAAAACGACGATAGCTCAAACAATTACCAAAGCACACCACCGCGATCTCACCTGGGAAACTGCAGATTAAAACCAACACCAAAAGAGAAAGAATTTCGCAAAAAGAGATAAATTCAAAACACATAAGATCATTGAATAAATAAATAAAGTTAAAACGACAGATGACCTTCCGAATAGCATCCGATCAACACTGATTGAGGCTAATACGAGAACCATGGAAGGACCTCGGGTAGGATTGCATTGCTCAAAAATTAGGGTTTCCATTCCTAAATTGCGCCATGGCTCTGTGAGATGCTGAGGCAGAGACAGAGACAGAGACTCAGAGAAAGCGGGAAAGGAATATTTGGTACAGCGATTCTGCTTTTTATTATTTTATTTCTATTTAATTATTTATTATTTTTATTTTTCGGAATTTGGACCAACGACTTTCATTGACTACAAAGAAGATCTTAGTTGGATCAAACATTATTTTAATATTTTAATAGTAAAAATTTAATATTTTATGTAAAAAAAAAACAATGCATTGAATCCGGATGAAAATAAAATTTTCAAAAGGATCGAAAAACTTTAAATATAAATATTCATGCCACAAACAAATTTTATTTAAAATATAAACAAGGCTGATATTTAAAAATATATCTATATATATCTTCTCTAAAATTCACTTTAAAAAAATAATAATAATGTCAAAATCATACTTTAAATATACGTACAATTGGATATAAAAAGCCTATGCATAAATATCTTATAATTCAGTCCCTATTTCAAAACATTTACTCTGCACTTCTCCAGTTTCCCATTTCGTTGTTTTCTCCTTCCCATTCTGTGATCGTCGAAAATTGATCGTTCTTTTTCCGCGCGAAATCGAAGGTAAAGAAATTGGTGACTGAAAATCGAAGCAACCATCCGCACACCCATTATTTGTTGATCTTCAATACTTAATCTCCAGTTGCCGATCTCGAACACGCATCTGTCCCTTCCGAAACTGTCGTTGCCATCACGCCGGCTACGGAACGTCTTCAACAAGAAGCGACGGATGTTAGGGTTTTTAAAGATTAGTATCTGTTGTGAATTTATACTCATTCATAGGTAGATCGAAGTCGACATTGTTCTGTCGGAGCTGTTCGAGAAGGAAGCCCAACCGTTCCAGTCATTGGTGAAGGAAGACGTTGTGGGTCTGTTGTTCATCGTTGGAGAACAGTTGCTGCTCGAAGCCGCCATCACTATCCGTCGTTGGATAAATCGATCTCGAAGTTTTCAGTTGATGAATTTCGTGGAATATCGAACAAGTTTTGTAATATGTTCTTGTCCTGTGCGTTAATCTTTCTATCTTCTGCTCTTAATTTTCCACTCGCCTAATGTCTTTTTAACTTTAGAATTATGTTAACTTTAATTTTGTTTCAACATTATTAAATTTTGGATTTTATTTCGAATTAATATTTGTATTCGTGTTTATGAGGTTTATTTGATAAAAGTCATTGATTCCGGAATAAATTCACAATAGTAACTCTATTTCAAATGGATAAATTTTGTTTTAGAATTGAAGTTTTCAAGCATCCAATTATTTCCTAAATATTGAATGAAATTTTTTATAGAAGTTGGGATTGAAATTTTGTTGAAATTATTTTTATATTTTATTTATTTATTTTGAAGGTTCGGGCACATTGTAACAATCAATTTATACAAATTCATATTTTGTAAGTATAGTATAGGTTGAATTAAATATAAACATGCACAAGCAAATTTTATTTAAAATATAAATAAGACTGATATCCAAATATATATATATATATATCTTCTCTAAAATTCACTTCAGAAAAATAATAATGCCAAAATCATATTGGAAAAAACAAAACATGTCTAAAAAAAATATACCAAAAAATATAAAATTACCAAAATAAATGAAACAAAAGATCCAAACCAACATCTAACAATAAATTTAAAATTCGATTCAACTTAAGTGTAGATGTCGTATTTAAGGTAAACAGAAATTTCTACTTCTCCGAGGATATTAGACCATCTTCAACCTGACAATTTCATTTATGCAGTTATAATTTGTAGTTTTTACAGTAATTTAACTTTTCACAACTCTATTTTCAACTTAAAAAAAAAATATTCTCTAAATATTCTATTTTATATATTATTTTAAACAATTTTTATATTAAAAAAATATAAATATATACAATTAAAATATAAAAAATTACATATTGGTCCTTATAGGACCAATTTATAATTTGTAAAAATTAAAAATATTAAAAAATAATAAAAAAAAAAAAAAAAAACACCATAATTGGTGTTGCAACGGTGCAACAAATACAAAAAATGGTATTGCAAATTAAGTTGAGTTGAAGAGACAAATCTCCAAATATGGAGCTGCAACCTAAAACATGAGGTTGCATTGGAGATGCCTTAGAGATAATCGCGGAGTTTTTTAAAATTTATTTTTTAGACAATAAATTGGGTGAAAAAAAAAAATTAATGATGATATAAAAATTATTTATTTCAAAAAATTTACCAAGAAAATTCATAGTCAACATTGACTATTATTGAAATACATATAATTATAATATTAATTTAATTGTGTAAAACATAAATATTTTTTTCATGAAAAATCTTATATTTATTGTTAATTACTAATTATTTTAAAGAATAATTTAAAAATTAATTTTTATAAAGTTTAATTTTATTTGAAAAATGATTACCATTTAGATTAATTCTATAATTTATTTCAATGACAGACTATTTCGATTATAATTTTTATTTTATCAATATATTTTTTTTTCAACGGAAAATAAAATCTAAAAAATTCTTCAAAATTCCCTCACAAACCCAAAAAAGTAAAAAAACAAATTGGCACCTACTCTTAACTTGAATCGATTTTCAGATTTATTTTCGGTTGTTCATTTGAAATTTTTTGCTTCATCTATTTTGTAACTTGTTTGTTTTTCGGAGTTTATTCTTTTAAATAGGTTTGTTTTCTTCGATATGATTTTGAGATGGTATTGTTAGTATATATGTTAGAGAAGATATATGTTTTTATTTATTTTTTTTCATAACCAAGTTGTGCATATTTAAAATATTCCCTCCGTCCCATAACAAAATATTCATTTCTCTATTTTAGTCCGTCTCATAACAAAATAGTTATTTCTGTTTTTTTAGTAATTGTACTATATACCTAACATTACAAATACCCTTACAACTTACAATATATTATACAAATACCATTACATTTATATCAACCATACTAATAAGGTTATTTTAGTAATTTCTACTTTATTCCTAATACGTCCCAATATAATACTAATATTTCTAAAACTACATACAAAAAACAAACGAATACCTATTTATGGGACGGAGAGAGTATAATTTTCCCATCAAATGGATTTTTTCTTTTAAGTTTTATTCTCTTAAGAATGATTCTTCATTTTCCTCTGGATTTTATGCATCAAATGATTGTTGGTTGGAACAAATATTAATTTTTAATAGTAAAAATTAAGGTTTACATAAATTATAAATTTGTTTGTTTGTTTAGTGTTTTAATTTGAAATATATTTGATATAAAGTATATTGTATATGTTAAAAATATAAGAAATAATATTCTACTTCAATATTAATTTTTTGTGAGGTAATAAAAAAAATATATTATATATATATTGAGAATTGCATTGAGAAAAAAGAAAAAAACAATAATAATAATTGAGCAAACAAACCCGACATGTATGTCAAAATTTCTTATAAATTTCACGTTACTAATAAAAATTGTTGGCCATAATAGCTATATTGTTGATGTTATAAATAATAAGATTGCGGGAATATTATACAGAGATCACCGTAAATGGTCGAGTCGAGGAAAGTCTTTTCTCTGCAAAATAGTTATGTTTCAGTAGTGCTTCTAGTTGACGGCATACAATTTCAAAAAATAAAACAGTTTAGCTTCCAATGAAAGTAGCATCTCAATGTCGTCGGAGCTCCAAAAGTTAAAAATGAGAAAAGAACTGACCGGTGCCGAAAGGCAGAAAAGATTTGCCGAAGACTTAAAGAGTAGGAGATGATAAGAGACCGTAGATTGATTTAGAATGAATGAGGAAGTCTCCTTTTATAGGAATGCGACATAAGGAATAAGGAAACCAACGTGATTTAATGACTATAACGGCAACAATGATTGTGTTTTAATTTTCATCTCAATTTTTGGTCTTAATTTCCGTCGTGACTAATGTAATCATACGGATTTGATTTTGTTAATATTTGACCAATCAAATCCAGATTATTTTGCAATTTAGGTCATGTATCTGAATTTTTTTGGATTTCAAATATAGACTCGTATTGATAAAAAAAAAAAAAGAATTATAAATTTTGGATTAGGTATCGGGCTCCGGCGCAAATTTTGGCTTCGCAAACCATTTACCGAGCCTGAAAGGCGGAGTCAAAATTTGACGAGAGGGGGCTAACTTTTAAATTTTCTTAAATAATACAATTTATTTATTACGAGATAATTTATTTTTTGTAATATCATATTTTAAAAATCTTATAAAACAACAAAACACAACAACATCAACCATATATCACAATATTTAATTTGGTATTATTTGAAAGCGGTAAGTACAATTTTATAGTAGAAGAAGATTTATTTCCTTCTCCCACGTGTTTCTCATTTGGGTTTTCTAATATTATTTTTATTTTACTAAAAAATAATTTTACATTAAAAGTATCATATATGTTCATATTAAATTTTTTCTATCATTCAAACATAAATTCAAAATTCAAAATCTAAACAAATACACTATCATTCAAACATAAATTTAAAATTCAAAATCGAAAGAAACACATTATATATAAAAATTTTGTGTTTGTTTGAGGGATTGGATTTTAAATATACTATTTATCCAATTATTTTCCCCAAAAATATCAAATCAAATACCTATTTTTTATTTTTTATATTATACTTAAAAATCAATTTTATATTCAAAACATCGCATCAACGCCTATTTATATCACATCATACAACTATTCAAATTTAAAATTTTTACTATTCAAATCTCAACTCAAAATCCAAATCCCCAAAAACAATTACACTTAAATATCTTTAATTTATCTATTTATATATATATATAGACACTGCATATATAAATATTATATATATATATATATATATATTAGAGAAAGGAAGCTGCATATTATATATATATATTATATGTTAAAATAAAAAAATTAATAGAAATATGTAGACAACTATTTTAATTACATTTCAATTCGAATAATTGAGAATGTCACAATTAATTAATTAATTTATTTATTTAATATATTTCTACTCACCGAAAAATTAATTTAAAAAAAAAAGAA